TCCAACCCCCCTGCAATGTGCAGGGACATCTTCAACTAGATCAGGTTGCTCAGGGCCCTGTCCAGCGTGACCTTGAATGTTTCCAGGGCTGGGGCATCTACCACCTCTCTGGGCAACCTCTTCCAGTGTTTCACCACCCTCACTGTGAAAAATTTCTTTCTTAAATCTAATCTGAATCGACCTTCCTTTAGTTTAAAACCATTACCCCTCATCCTATTGCAACAGGCCTTGCTAAAAAATCTGTCCCCATCTTTCTTCTAAGTCCCCTTTAATTACTGGAAGGCTGGTCTAAGGTCTTCTGGGAGCCTTCTCTTCTCCAGGCTGAACAGCCCCAACTCTCTCAGCCTTTCTTCATAGGGGAGGTGCTCCATCCCCCTGATCATCTTCGTGGCCTCCTCTGGACTCACTCCAAGAAGTCTGTGTCATCCTTGTGTTGGGGGTCCCAGAGCTGAAGGCAGTACTGCAGAGGGGGTCTCACCAGAGTGGAGTAGTGGAGTAGAGGGGCAGAATCCCTTCCCTCAGCCTGCTGGCCACCTTTCTTTTGATGCAGCCCAGGATACAGTTGGCTTTCTGGGCTGCAGTTGCACATTGCTGGGTCATGTCCAGCTTTTCATCTGCCAGTACCTCCAAACCCTTCTCCATGGGGCTGCTCTCAATCCCTTCATCCCCCAGCCTGTATTGATACCTGAGGTTCCCCCAGCTCAGGTGCAGGACCTTGCATTTGGCCTTATTGAAGCTCAGAGGTTTGCACAGGCCCACTTGTCAAGCCTGTCCACATCCCTCTGGATGGCATCCTGTCTCTCAGGTGGGTCAGTTGTACCACTCAGCTTGGTGTCATCTGCAACTTGATCTAATGTTCCTTTTTTTTCTTCTGTAATAAATGAAAACAGCCAACAGAAAACACTTCAATAATGTGATTAATATTCTGATTGATACACATTAAACAGGGAGCTAATAAAGATGTTTTGGAAGTTTTGGGGAATTAGGTGCAAATTAAGATGTTAATATGGTGTTCCCAGGCAACAGAAACCTCTGTTTCAATAAAAACCCTGCAGGAAGAAGAGGCCTTGCAAAACAGGTGATTGCCTTTATACCTGAGGCCAGACTGTAGCTGGGAAAATAAACGATCAATACCTGCTTCTGTTCCTTCAGAACTCAATGCAACTTGTGTATTTAGTTGCCTTCTTATCTGCATTCAAAGAAAGAATTCAGAGAAAGTTTTCAAATATTAAAGATAAAAGAAATCTCTTCTTCTATTCATTTTGTGATCTGTGTATCTACCCTGCTAAATTAAGTGAAATGTGGACTTTGTTCCTTACCTCTTATCGTTTAATTACTAGCTTTCCTAAACACTGCACCCTTTCTTCGGTGATTTC